ACCCTTCTACTCCCAAGATCTCATTAGTAATTCTCCTTACTGTTTGCCACATAGTTCTTGTGATGTTAGTTTTGAGAATTTGGTCTTGGATCAACTAATAATCTCCTAATTTATATTCTTCTTTATTCTCATCACTTGTCTGCTTGATATTATATTGATATCGTAAGGAGATGTTCTGTCTTGGTCACACATGGGTGTTAAAGGGTTGAGTCTTGCAAAAATCATGAAAACTGGGAATGAAAGTGTTGAAAAGAATGAGAAGTTATGTTATGTTATGATTTTTCTTAGCTGCAACAATCTAAGTGGAAATCTTGGAGGTTTTCTTGTTTCCTCTTCCCACTCTTTTTACATGTGGGATTTATTTCTTTTCTCTGATCTCTTTTCCGTTATTTAATTTTTGTGCGTGCTGAGGTGATTTCATAAATCTTACTTTAAAAAAGGTTTATAGGTGCCCTAAAAGTGGCCAGGAACCTACTCAAGGAAATCTTTTGCATTGATTTTATGTCACTTGCATTCCATGCTTCCTTAGATGTTTTAATGTTGGTGTTGAATTTTTTCTTCAGTGTTAAAAGGAGGTGAAAATCATTTGATTTGAGATAGGGTAAGGATTTTTTCAAGGGCTCTTCATACCCTCCCCTTGAGGCAGTCTCTCCGGTAGATTGATAGATTTTGTCTGATATTGAAAAGGCCACACCCCTCCCCCATTAGCTTCCAAGTTGTATCTAACAGTTGGGCTGAATATATCACAACACAAAGTTGAAATCGGTCTACAAAATTTATTCTTCAATGACAAATTTGGGAGGTCTGGCTCTATTAACAATGACTAGTAAGTTAAAATCTTTACTGTTCAAGTCTGATACTTCTTTAGATTTTGAACAGCAACTCTGACAAGTAAAAGCCCATAAGTAGGTACAAAGATTACACTAATATTTACAAAAAATGCAGAAACCTCCCTGAAAAAAATTATTTGAATGTGATAAAATCTTGCTCCAATAACCTACAGAAAGACCTTCTCTCTTTGAAAGCGTGATGATTTGATTTAAAATTTGGTTACAGTTCCCTTTTTAGATATTTTGCTGGAGGTGTGAAACTACTTGAACTGGTTTGCTTCTATCGGAAAATACAGAAAACAAAAGAAATTTAAAAAACCCTGCTGAGAAATCTGTAGTGTAAACATTCATCTGATGGGCTTAAAATCTCCCACAAAACTTCAAGCGATCAAAACATACAGAAGCATGGAGAGAATTTAGGATCGAAACTAACCAATCATAAAATAACAAAGTTTCCTGAGAGGTCAGAGGTTTGTGGTAACCTCACTGTAATTTGGATTGGAAGTGGTTTGAATAATTTCTTTTCATTTTTTAATTGGAATTGCTGAAGCTTAAAGAATTAGCTTACATTTAGACTGACTATTGCTTAGTAAATTACGTGCCTTTTGCTTACCTGCTTCTGTGATGTTTATATTGTGTGAGAGGTTTAACGTGTGTAGCTGACAGTTGTTGTTGTTGTTGATGGCTTCAGCCAAGAGCTGTGCTCCAATGTCTAAGATGTTATTTTTTGTGAGGTCTAGTGTGTGTAGCTGACAGTTGTTGTTGTTGATGGCTTCAGCCGAGTGCTGTGTACCAATGTCTGAGATGTTATTTTGTGAGAGGTCTAACATGTGTAGCTGACAGTTGTTGTTGATGATGGCTTCAGCCAGGTGCTGTACTACAATGTTTTAGATGTTATTTTCTGTGAGGTTTAACGTGTGTAGCTGATAGTTGTTGTTGATGGCTTCAGCCAACTGCTGTGCTTCAATGTGTGAGATGTTATTTGCTCTGAGGTTTAACGTGTGTAGCTGACAGTTGTTGTTGTTGATGGCTTCAGATAAATACTTTGCTGCTTCATCTGTCAATTGATTTCTTGTGAGGTTTAACCAGCTCAGTTGAGATTCCCTACATTTTAACAATTTACAAATCTCAAAACAACCTAATGGACCAATGTTATTGTAACTCAAATCTAAATGTGAAATTTGTTGAACTAAAAAGAGCAATCAACAGCTGTGAGGTGACAATCAATAAAATTTACACAATTAAATTTCATTTGTTTAAGTTTTCTTTGTGCTTCTAACTTCATTGTGCTATTTTCGTTTAAACATTTAATTAATGTTACTGCTAAATCTTGTTCGTCTTTAGTCGGCCAGCAGGTTACTTTCCTTTGCTCTTCATTCTCGGTCCATTGTTCGTTGTAGTCTGCGCTTTCTCTTTCTTCAGTTTTCACAGGAAGAAGGTCAGTCATTATTTCGCTTGGTAGGTAACTTTATCCTCCATAAGTCCTGCCAGAAACTGAAAAACCTAGTAGTATAAAGGACTTAATGGTCATCTAAAATAACACTTCACTCAAAGCCCCCTACCATCTACAGTTAAATATAATGATCACAATAAAAATTAGAATTGATAAATAAAATAAGGGGAACTCCTCTCCTGTATTCATCACTACAAATATATGTTACAATAAAAATTGAGTAAGGCAGGATACCTTTTATTCTATTCAGGCTGAAAGGAATATATGTAAGAACACTGAAGTTTTACTCTCAGGCTTCTTTCAGCAATTTATTGAGAGAAGCTGTATGGCTGGAATTTATCCCTAAGACATTACAAATAGACCCCTCCCCCCCCCCACCCCCTCCTTTGACAAGCCTGTCTCCAAATGCTATAGCAACTCCATTGTAGAGCACACCCTGCTGTGAAACTCTACAATTCAATTTTCTACCTTTGCGGGGGTAGCTTGGCCATTACTTGTACTCAGTTCTGAATTTCTTCTGTGAACTTGTCATGGGGGAAAACATCCATAACCAATCCATAGTCTCTTGCTTCAACTGCTGTCAGTTTGCATCCAGCAAGCAACATTTCATTGGACTAAAGAAGAAGAAGAATTCATGGTGTAATTTCACAAATTATGACAATAACTTGAAATATGCTCTTTAACTCATGTTATACAAAGTTTTCAACAGAAATTAGAGGCAAGTCAATGTACCTTTGCAGGTCCCATTATCCTTGGGAACATAAATGAGGATCATCCTTCAGGGCTATGCCCTAGCTCCATAAAGGGTGTGTGAAATGTAGCTTTATCTGATGCATAGATCAAGCCAAACTGGCCCATGACTTTTATTGATATTTCCACAGCAGGTCTATTGACTGCAGTAATCAGAGGCTGAGAGAAGTCCATAAATTGTTGTACAAAGTTCCTGTCATAATGGTAACAATAAAAATCATACTTGATTTGCATGTACAAGTAAGATTAGTGTGTAGTAAGATAAGTAAATATGTATTGCATAAATGGAAGACAACTAACCTCTAATTTCACAAGGTTATTGCAGAAAAAGATTTCCAAAGTGGATGGTAAGTCCCCTATTCTAATAAAGCAATCAGTGGATAACAAAGAAATGAATGGTTTGAGGTAGTCAATGATGAGTTTGAGAGAGACTTAACTATCTTCTATCTATTTTTTAACATCAACTGATCTTTGAGTAAAAAGCTTCGTGACAGCAGTTTTCTGGACACCCATTACTTTTTATTAATTCATCAATTATTTGCAATGTATTGGGAAAGCTTGAACTCTTTTGGAGTTCAACAGACTTTAATTCAGAGGACATTAAGTTATGTACAGTTCGAGCATAAGGCTATTGTTTTCATAATCATACTATGCTCTGTCTGGAGTCCAATGTGCTAACTATTGGGTCTCCATATCCAGCGTTCTCCAGCGATTTGAAAAACCAGCCAGAAAAAATAATTGCTGGCAAAGGCCAACATCTATTTCAGATAATCATACTGTGCTAAGCCTAGAGTCCAATGTGCTAACTATTCGCGCTCCATGTAACCCAGTGTTCTCCAAAGATTTTAGAAAACCAGCCAGAAAAAATCACTGCTGGCAAATGTTTAACTACTTTGTCTAAATAAAGCAGCCAGCCCCTCTGGGTGAGTACCAACCCTGATGCTTCTGAAGAACACTGGTAGCCCACAAGAATGAATAAACAGATGATTGGAGAATCTGGGATAAAGGAAAAGACATTGATCCCCTAACGTACTTAAATACTTTCCATGCATCATTTGCCATCTTTTGAGGACCCTCGGGCGGAATTCTGGTAAAGTTTCCCAGGTCATTTCCACTGCAGTAATATTTTCCAGATCCAGTCCACACAGTAACCACACAAGCATAATATTTCCTATCAAAGTAGTCATTGATTCTTGGTACACCTTTTTAAGATAATAGCAAAAAAAGTTGGGTTGTGTCCTCGTGTACCGGTACACAAAGGAAGGAAACATTAACGAACTGCGTCATAACTCCATGTATGGTTATGAAAACAAAAGGAATTCCCTCGTGTACCAGTACACCAGGACAGCCCCAAAAGTTGAGTTCATCCTTGAGTCTTGTCCATGAACACAACACACAGACTGCTGTCTCTCAAACCACACCCTCTCCACCCAGAGTATAATGATTAGGCCACTTAAATAAATACAAAATTTACAGAAGGTCCTGGATCATGCCTGTAGTGTGTTTACCTAAAGTCCAGAAAACAGTGGAGACGAGAGCACGATGGCCATATGTAATTTAAAACATTTTTAGCCTCTCTCACTTGTGAAAATTTTATCACTTACCCTCTTCAACATCAGCTTGAAATATGTTATTCCGTGGACTAACGGTCAACAATCGAACGGGTGCCTTGGGCTTCTCTCGATCTTTAAATTGGTCATACTTCTCTGATGAGAAGCAAACGACGCGACTGATTTCCTTCTTCTCTTAAATTTTGGAATCAAAATATCTGTTACCAGAGCTGGGACTCTTTAAATAATATCTTTCGGTTTCTTCATATTTTCGCTTGTTTTGGACTAACAGAACTCAACATTCTAGATGAGTTCGACGCCGTTGCGCTCCTCTCGATCTCTGTTAAATTCATGAGGTGCGACTGTGTAACCTCGTCCCGAGGACTATCTGCGCGCTGGCTTATAAGAGGTGCTTTGTCGAGTTTACTCATGTTCCGAGTAATATTCTTGCATCACTTCGTTCTTGTTATATGAATGAATATGTATAAATGAGTTAGCTCTTAGGAGCCTTTGGTCTCTTAGGTTAGCGAGGAAAGCGTGAGGGAAGCGGGAACCGTGTTTGGGCCTGGCGAAAGCTTTTGCGCGACTGCCGCTTGGCTGGTTCGTTGATGATAATTCATGGTTGAAGCATTGGAACTAAATGAAGTTAGAAATGGTTGATTGCAACTCATAATTTTGCAATTTTCTCTCAAGACGTAGAACATGAACTAAGGACGAAACGTAAGATGTTGAAATTCTTTAACTTGCTAAGTTATTCGGCGGCTAGGGAAAAGGAAGATGATTTGTGAATGATATCTAAAGTGAGTTCGACCACAGAAACATAGATCGACCCTTCATTCGCTTGGGGAGTTTTTTATTTGGTGGAGAGAGGTAAAGTTATCCAGAGTTTTATTTATTTTCTTTCTGCAGGTAACTGTTTGTTGCGAATAATAAAAACCTCTAGTCCAAAAAAAATCCCAAATGATTTATCTTAAATTTCCATAATGTATTTCAGTTTCCCAAAGGTTCTTGTGGCTGCTGTAATTGACATTGCGTTAGGATTTGGTACAGCACTGTTCATATAGTGTGACATAGTGTGTGTCAGAAACAAGGTTTGTCAAATATCACTCACATCAATTTAAGAGTCTTGATATTTGCAGCCTTGTTCTTTTAATTTTGTTATTATTTTAATTTAGAGCTGAAACAGTAGTGGTTTAAAGTTTTAGTGGTGTTAGGGGCCCTTGCCTCGATCTCGTTGCTTCGGTACACGGTTACCACGCAAAAGAAATGTTCATAGTAAACTGTGTTCAAAAGAATTCTTAAAACAATGATTATTAGAAGAGCCGATCTTTCTGACAGTATTTTTTCTTTTGTTCAGGCAACTTTTTAGACATTTTTTACCAAATGGGGTCATCCTCCCATTGGGAAAAGCTGAGGTAGGTACTTTAACTTGATCATCAAAACTAATAAAAAATTGTGCAACTCTGATTTGTATGATGTTTTAAATATACCAAGATTATTCCAGCAAGTGGAGTTCAGATCTTTAAATTCTCTAAACTTTTCATATTGTCCTTCAGTTGGATTTGAAATGACAAAAATATTTCCAGTGAGGCCTTTAGCTACTTCAAAATTTCCAACCTTTGGCTGATACAAAGCATCATTCATCCCTGATGATGCTGGGAATTGCCAAAAGCTTAGACACCAATTTTTTATTTTTACAGTAGAGCCTCACTAGAAACTATTATATCATTTTGATTCTCTGTTTCCAGGATCAAGATACATAGGACAGTGAAGCTCTTGAAGTGAAGGCAGACAACAAGGTTATTTATTTACTTACTGTACACTACAACTCTTTTTCAGTCAACTCTGTTTCTTGCAAGGACTGTCAATGCTGTTCTTGAATCAAAAGATGACTGCCAGCCAAGCATGAGAAAAGGGACTTGTGATGGAAGTTTCCAAATCAGATAATTTCTTGGAACAGGTCGACAAGAGAGTTACACTAATGGCTGCTTTGATGAGTAAGGTAAATGCTTTAGCCTCTTCATATGGCTTCCAAGCCATATGGAGTGGAAGCAATGTCTAGATGACCCAGCTTTTATTTTCTGTTATTTTTTAAGTTTTTTTTTAAGAATTCATATGGCTTCCAAGCCATATGGAGTGGAAGCAATGTCTAGATGACCCAGCTTTTATTTTCTGTTATTTTTTAAGAATTTTACATGATATCAAGACCATATCCCCTTCACCCCTTTACCAGGGTTCAAAATTAGCTTCATAAGATGGGTTCCAAGAGATGATTGAATATTATTTTTTCCAGCCTCTGAAATTGAAATATATGAGGTTTCAATTAAAAAAGTTTTTTTTACTGAAAATGTATTCCTACTTGTGAATAATAACTGGTAGAGTCCAGGGTCTAGATTGCAATAGACATGGGCACTAGTGCAACTTAAATTTTCTCGCTGGTGAATAGAATTTCTTGTTTAGTCTCCACACCATGGTTGGAAACATATAATTCCCTTACCTTTTTTAGTTCCAAAGGGGAGCCAAACCTCAGAGCTTTGAATCTTTGTACTTAGAGGCTGTACAAACCCTTACTTCAAGGAACTCATTGGTGAACAACAAAATCATAGGTCACATACTATGACCAAATGTGATGATTACAATCAACACCTGTGTATATAATAGGCTGTGAAGATTCCTACAGATTTCTCCTGTGAGCCAAAAAGTTCAGGGGATTGGGGGGGGGGGGGAGAGAGAAAGAGAGGTTTCCACCCAAGGCTTGAAGACTCTCTTCTTTGTTAGATACCATTAATAGCTTTGTTTTTCCTTGCCAACCCAACATTTTCTACTGGCAAAAACTGATAAGCATCATTTTAGATTTTTAATAGCCACTGACTGTAAATATAGGGAATCTATTTGCAATGTTAAAATTTTGTCATTCATTTTATTTTTCTGAAAGGACCCATTTGATGAACCTTTTTATAAAAATAAAAAAGTCAAACTACACCTAGAAAGCCATTCCCTCTCGCAGAATAATGTATTGCCAACTGTTGGACAACTTTTACAGAAATGATCATGGCCAATCCTTCAGCTTGGCCAGGAACTCATTTCAACCTGGATGCGCTGCTTTTGCTGGGCAAAGAGAAAAAAATTTAAGGAATAAAACTTCAAGGCTAAAGCTTAAAGTTGATGGATATTATGATCTGTAAATAATTATATATATCTGACCTTGTTATAAGCCCTTTTCCTAGGGTCTTATAGAAAAATAAAATGAATGACAAAATTCTTACAACTGTGGATGGATTCTTCATATTTAGGGTCATCAGCTTTTTATCACTTTTTTTATTGAAGAAATTGGGTTACTTGTTCCCTTTTGATTTGTTTGGTCAATTTTGAAAGTTCTCAAAGGTTACCAAATCTAACTTAATCATTTCTCTTTACAGATTCTACAGGACACAAAATCTCTCATCAAGCATTCCTACCAAGAGACACTAAACCAAGCCAACAATGAGGAATGTAAATTATTTCTAAAATATCTTGGAGATCATAAAGTGTTAGACACTCTAAAAACAAACTGGCTTCCAGATGTTATTACTTGATTTTACTATTATTGTCATTAATATTATTATTGTTTTGAGGTTGTAACTTTGAAACAGATAATGTTGCATTTGCTGTAAACTTTAAGGCACTAAAGAGTTTCATCCTCTATGAAGGTAAAATGTTACCCTCTTTTTAGCTGCTTTTTGTCAAATTTTTTAACATTAGTTTTTTCTACCCTTTTTCATCTTTAATACCTGTTCTGAGGGATATTCTTTCAGTTACCTTTGGTTTGCAGTCAGTTAATGATATAATGATGGCAGACCTAGTGTCCAGCAACACATTATTAACATCCACTACATGTCAGTGTACTTACCCCTTTACATTGTACTTTCTTGAAAAATAAACAGTCTTTAGATTGTTTGTAATAGAGACTTTAAGCAAACCACCATGGCAACAGCAACAAAAGCATGGCCAGACAAAGGATTCAGTGGGCACACAAATAGCTCAGTATGTACATTTTCAAATTTTATTTATTTTTTTATCTATTCTCTGAAACAAAACAACATAAATCACTAAAATTTGCATGGGATAAGAACAGAACTTCTGATGGCAAATTATTTACCTCACATTGTTTAGAACTAAACCCTGCTCACTTTTGTTATGGCAAAGATGATGTCTTGCTCTGTTAGAGAGGGTAATCACATCCACCATCCATTTAGTGGACATTTTTGTCAGCTTGCCATCCTGACTGCTTAAGATCCCTAATGATTTCTGTGGATTCACTCTCTTGTGTTTACACATTACTTCTAATCACAATCATCCTCTCCATGGTAAACTCCCCTTTTTCAAATTCTTGCTGGACATAATAACTGTTCAATCTCCACTTAGCTGGCTTTTAATCTAATCAACATTAGTTGAAGACTGAAGAACACACCCTTTTAAATTTAATTTTTTAAAAAACCTTTTTTTATTTTGTTTTTATTTGTGGGAATTTAAGAAGCCAGTTTTACATTAGTTTTGAAAGACCAAATATATATTTCACACTCAGGCAACCAACATTTTATACTCTCTTAGTTGGGAAGAAAATTTGTAAGGCACCTCTGATATTATGTATTTGTGCTGTGAAGTCCTCACCACAGAGTAATGTGTATTTTTTATAAAGAAAAAATATTATTTATATTTTTTATTTATATTTCAGATTAGTTTTTTCTTTCCAATTGTCAAGTTTTCTTATTGTTACAATGATCTTCATGTAAAGCCAGATTAATTTCTAATACCTGGGTGGGATGTTGATGTTTTTAACTAATTTATGATACAGACTTCTTTTGTTTTGTCTGTGAAGGGTTACTTCTTTTATCCATTTGGTACTGTTTTTGTGACTGGTTTCACAAATCTGGGATTCTTTGTAAATATTTTAACAAATTTGAAGTTTATTTTATTGGAAAATACTTTTTTTATAATTTCTAAATTAGAAAAATATTTTGCTTTTTGAGTCTACAGCATTTCAATTGATAGTATGGTTACAGCATCAAAAGCAGAGATGAAGAACTTAATTAGTAAAGAAGGTTTTTGAAATTAGCTTTTATGAGGTGCAAAACAGAGCAACAAGATTTAAATTGCACTTCCTTGCAAGAATTGTGAGTTTTCACCCCATTGTCTCTCCTCATGTTATTAGCTAGAAGTTGTTCAGATTGTGTTCAATTAGTTTTTTCCATCCCTAAGATGACAATATAAATTCTCTGCACTGTTTGCTATACATTTCTAGGAATTTTAGCTTTCAGAATTTAGTGTCAGATCAAGCAAATACCCACAGATGTTAACTATTATTTTTCTGATCACCTTTCTGCTTAACAATGCATTGTATTGTAAGTAGAAACAACTTATTGAACACCTCTGGGAGTGAAAGGGTTTTTTTGTGGGGGGGGGAGGGTAACCTAAATATATAATTTCTCATTTTTATGTAGACGCAGTCATTATGTTGCTGTAACATGCATTGAAATGAGATTAAAAGATTAGTTTGATTAAAATGTTTGGATGCATAGGAATTATAATCACTTGGTTTTTTAGACCAGGATTGTACAGATTTTTTAATTCTTCCTTATTAAGTGTTGAAAAGAAATGATATAAAGACCTGAAAATATTACAGGAAATAAAAGGAAAAATAAAATGGGGGAGAAGAAGTCTCTACTATTATTCATAAGCTGCAACAAGTGGTTAATTCCAGGTGGAAATCTTTATGATCTTTTGCTTCTTGTTGTTCTTTTTACTGAAATAATTCCTCTCTGTTTCCTGATCTGATTTCTTTTGTTTAATTAGTAGTTTATTTTGACCCTCAAGGTCTTCTGATCTCATAAACACGAGATCAATTACATTTTCATTAAATGTTCCACCAGACTAAGTTTGGCCAAAATTTTAAATAGGAGGCTAAAAACTTTTTCACATTCATTTCATGTCTGTGACAGTTTATGCTTTGTAAGATATTTCATCATTGGTTTTAGGTGTGGAGTGGAAGTTTGTTTTTTATAATTGGAAGGAGAAAATCAATAATATGGGATATGAGGAGGGTTTTAAGAGGAATGCTGCATACCCCCACTCACAATTTTTTTGACTATACCCTCATCCCCTGTTCAGGGTTAGAGGATTAGATCTTCTCTACTGGACTTGAGGCATTTTTCTTAGGTAAATTTACTTTATTTTTGTCTGATATTGAGAAGGCTACATTTCCCCTTTTCTCATGGTTTTTCACTTTGGTTTGATTATTTTAAAAACAAAATGTAGCCATTCTTTAACAAAACTGCAACCAAAAAATACTCAATTTAGCAAGATGTTTTATCTGAACATTAAATTATTGTGAACAGGGTAAAGAGGGTGGATAGCTAACTGTGGAATGACAGTTACTTCATTTCATAAACCCTCTTCTAGAGAAAGCCTGAAGCCCACTGATTGGGTGAAACCATGGTTTGGGTTACACTGTGTAAATAATAAATGGCCCTTTGAGTCTAACCATTGGGGCTCAACGCATCACAACGAGTAAATATCTGTTTACAACATTTATTCTACACTGATAAATGTGGTGGTTCTGAATCTATTAACAAGCACTGGTAAGTTAAATTGTCAACTGTACGTTGAAGCCTGATGCCTCATCTTCAAATTTTGCTGTGCAACTTATTGACATTTTCATTCTAAAATGCTAGTAACAGTCCCAAAATGGTACATTTGTTAAAAAAATACACTAATATCTACAAAAAAAATGCAGAAACACCAAAAGATTTCTAAAAATTAGTATGATAAAAAATCTCGCACCACTAACCTACAATAAAAGCTTTTGACTAAGGCACGACGATTTGAGTTATAATTGTTTTTTGCGGTACCACTCGAACCGGATCGTTGCGATCGAAAAAAAAAAGAAAAAACAGCCAAAAAGAAAAAAACAGGTATTCTACCAAGCAATCTCTACTGTATTTACTCATCTGATCGCCTTACAATCTCCAAACATATCTAAACAGGTGATCAAAACGTAAAGAAAGATGGAGAGAATTTACAATCGAAACTAACCAATCATAAAATGAGAAAGTTTCCTGAGAGGTCCGAGATTTGTTTGTTTTCTCTGCAGGAAGCTTTGTGTTTTTACTTAAATCTAATTGGTTCGTTTATAAAAAAAGTTTGACATTGAAATTGGTTCTTTTTCATCTTTAATACCTCTTCTGAGTGATATTCTTTCAGTTACCTTTGGTTTGCAGTCAGTTAATGATATAATGATGGCAGACCTAGTGTCCAGCAACACATTACTAATATCCACTACATGTCAGTGTACTTACCCCTAACATTGTACTTTCTTGAAAAATAAACAGTCTTTGGATTGTTTGTAATAGAGACCTTAAGCAAACCACCATGGCAACAGTAACAAAAGCATGGCCAGACAAAGGATTCAATGGGCACACAAATAGCTCACTATGTATGTTTTATAATTGTATTTATTTTTCATTTATTTTCTGAAACAAAACAACATAAATCACTAAAATTTGCATGGGGTGAGAACGGAACCTCTGATGGCTTGGAACTCTGATGGCAAATTATTTACCTGTCATTGTTTAGAACTAAACCCTGCTCACTTTTGTTATGGCAAAGATGATGTCTTGCTCTGTTAGAGAGGGTAATCACATCCACCATCCATTTAGTGGACATTTTTGTCAGCTAGCCATCCTGATTGCTTAAGATCCCTAATGATTTCTGTGAATTAACTCTCTTGTGTTTACAAATTACTTCTAAGCACAATCATCCTCTCTTAATGGTAAACTCCCCCTTTTTAAATTCTTGCTGAACATAATAACTGTTCAATCTCCACTTAGCTGGCTTTTTATCTAATCAACATTAGTTGAAGACTGAAGAAAAAACCCTTTTACATTTAATTTTTTGAAAAACCCTTTTTTATTTTTTGTTTTTATTTGTGGGAATTTGAGAAGCAAGTTTTACATTAGTTTTGAAAGACTAAATATACATTTAACACTCAGGTAACCCACGATTTATACTCTCTTAGTGGGGAAGAAAATTTGCAAGACACCTCTGATATTAAATTTTTGTGCTGTGAAGTCCTCACCACAAAGTAATGTGTTTTTTTATTATAATTTAAATTAATTTGATTTATATTTCTGATTAATTTTTTCTTTTCAATTATCAAGTTTTCTCACTGTTACAATGATCTTCATGTAAAGCCAGATTAATTTCTAATACCTGGGTGGGATGTTGATGTTTTTAACTTATTTATGATACAGACTTCTTTTTTTGTGTCTGTGAAGGGTTACTTCTTTTATCCATTTGGTACTGTTTTTGTGACTGGTTTCACAAATCCGGGATTTTTGTAAATTTTTAACAAGTTTGAAGTTTATTTTATTGGAAAATGCTGTTTGATAATTTGTAAATTGAGAAACATAATTTGCTTATCAAGTCTACAGCATTCCAATTGATAGTATGGTTACAGCATCAAAAGCAGAGATGACTACAGAGGATCTGTTCTGTGGAATAGGATTCCTTCTGAGATTAAAAAACTGCCTAGTTTGAATGTTTTTAAAACTTCGTTTCATGGGAAAGATTTCTCTGATACACCATTGTAACTCTTATTATTCATGATATAAGTTTTTGTATTTTTAACATTATAGTAAATAGTTCCTTGTTACTCATGATACAAGTTTTTGTTTTTGTATGTTTAACATTATAGTCAATAGTTCTTAAAGTATTTTAGTATAATTTAAACACGATTCCTAGGAAGACCATGTAAAATGATATGATTTCGTGTATAAATAAAGATTGATGATGATGATGATGATGATGATAAACCTAACTAGTAAAGGTGGTTTTTGAAATTAACTTTTGTGAGGTGCAAAACAGAACAACAAGATTTAAATTGCACTTCCTTGCAAGAATTGTGTGTTTTCACCACATTGTCTCTCCTGATGTTATTAGCTAGAAGTTGTTCAGATTGTGTTAATTATTTTTTTCCATCCCTAAGATGACAATATAAATTCTCTGCACTGTTTGTTATACATTTATTGGAATTTTAGCTTTCAGAATTTGGTGTTAGATCAAGCAAATACCCACAGATGTTAACTATTATTTTTCTCATCACCTTTCTGCTTAATAATGCATTGTATTGTAAGTAGAAACAACTTATTGAACACCTCTGGGAGTGAAAGGGTTTTTTGTGTGGGGGGAGGGAGGGGGAGGGGGGTTAGCCTAAATATATAATTTCCAGTTTTTAAGTGGACACAGTCACTGTAACATGCATTTAGATGAGATTAAAAGATAAGTTTGATTAAAATGTTTGGATGCACAGGAATTGTAATTACTTGGTTTTCAGATCAGGATTTTACAGATTTTTTAATTCTTCCTTAAGTGTTGAAAAGAAATGATACAAAGACCTGAAAAGATTACAGGAAATTAAAAGGAAAAAAAAAGGTGGGGAAAGAAGTCTCTACTATAATCCCTAAGCTGAAACAAGTGGTTACTTCAAGGTGGAAATATTTGTGATCTTTTTCTTGTTCTTTTTAGCCTAAATAATTCCCCTCTGTTTCCGTATTTATTTTCTTTTGTTTAATTAGTAGTTTATTTTGGCCCTTAAGGTCCTCTTATTACATAAATGTGAGATCAAAAACATTTTAAATGCCCTATTGAATTAAGTTTGGCCAAATTTTAAATATGTAGCTAAGAACGTTTTCCCATTTATGTCATGTCTGTTACAGTTTACGCTTCATAAGATATTTCATCATTGGTTTTAGGTGTGGAGTGGAATTCTGTTTTTTATAATTGGAAGAAGAAAATCAATAATATGGGGTATGAGGAGGGTTTTAAGAGGAATGCTGCATACCCCCCACTTACAATTTTTTTGACTATACCCTCATTCCCTGCTCATTGTTAGAGGATTAGAGCTTCTCTACTGGACTTGAGGCATTTTTCTCAGATAAATTTACTATATTTTTGTCTGATATTGAGAAGGCTACATTTCCCCTTTTCTCATGGTTTTTCACTTTGGTTTTATTATTTTAAAAACAAAATGTAGCCATTCTTTAACAAAACTGCGACCAAAAAATATTCAATTTAGCAAGATGTTTTACCTGAACATTAAATTATTGTGAACAGGGTAAAGAGGGTGGATGGCTAACTGTGGAATGACAGTTACTTCATTTCATAAACCCTCTTCTTGAGAAAGCCTGAAGCCCACTGATTGGGTGAAACCATGTTTTGGGTTACACTGTGTAAATAATAAATGGCCCTTTGAGTCTAACTATTGGGGCTCAACGTATCACAACGAGTAAATATCTGTTTACAACATTTATTCTACACTGATAAATGTGGTGGTTCTGAATCTATTAACAAGCACTGGTAAGTTAAATTGTCAACTGTACGTTGAAGCCTGATGCCTCATCTTCAAAATTGACATTTTCATTCTAAAATGCTAGTAACAGTTCCAAAATTGTACATTTGTAAAAAAAAAATACACTAATATCTACAAAATAATGCAGAAACACCAAAAGATTTCAAAAAATTAGTATGATAAAAAATCTCGCACCACTAACCTACAATAAAAGCTTTTGACTAAGGCACGACGATTTGAGTTATAATTGTTTTTTTGCGGTACCACTCGAACCGGATCGTTGCGATCGAAAAAAGAGAAAAAACAGCCAAAAAGAAAAAAACCAGTGTTCTACCAAGCAATTTCTACCGTATTTACTCATCTGATCTCCAACCATATCTAAACAGAAAACTGTTCCGTGTAACAGTCTCAGGTGATCAAAACGTAAAGAAAGATGTAGAGAATTTACGATCGAAACTAACCAATCATAAAATGACAAAGTTTCCTGAGAGGTCCGAGGTTTGTTTGTTTTCTCTGCAGGAAGCTTTGTGTTTTTACTTCAATATTATTGGTTCGTTTATAAAAAGTTTGACATCCTTTGTTCTCAATAAACATGTTCATTGGTTCATTTTTCTTCATTTCGATCCGGTTCAAATAATCTCACTGCTCTGAGCACTTTACAGATTAGTTTTACATTCATTCACGGGCTGAGTCAATGGGTTGAAATTATCACTGAGCTGGTTACCTCACTGCTATTTTGAATAGTAAGTGGTTCAAATAATTTCTTTTTAGTTTTTAATTGGAATTGCTGAGGCCTAAAGAATTAGCTCACATTTAGACTGACTATTGCTTAGTAAATTACGTGCCTTGTCTGAGATGTTATTGTATGTGAGGTTTAACGTGTGTAGCTGACAGTTGTTGTTGTTGATGGCTTCAGCCAAGTGCTGTGCTCCAATGTCTGAGATGTTATTGTTTGTGAGGTTTAACGTGTGTAGCTGACAGTTGTTGTTGTTGATGGCTTCAGCCAAGTGCTGTGCTCCAATGTCTGAGATGTTATTGTGTGAGAGGTGTAACGTGTGTAGCTGACAGTTGTTGTTGTTGATGGCGTCAGCCAAGTGCTGTGCTCCAATGTGTGAGATGTTATTTTCTGAGAGGTTTAACGTGTGTAGCTGACAGTTGTTGTTGTTGATGGCCTCAGCCAAGTGCTGTGCTCCAATGTCTGAGATGTTATTTATTGAGAGGTTTAACGTGTGTAGCTGACAGTTGTTGTTGTTGATGGCGTCAGCCAAGTGCTGTGCTCCAATGTTTGAGATGTTATTGTTTGAGAGGTTTAACGTGTGTAGCTGACAGTTGTTGTTGTTGATGGCTTTAGCCAAGTGCTGTGCTCCAATGTGTGAGATGTTATTGAATGAGAGGTTTAACGTGTGTAGCTGACAGTTGTTGTTGTTGATGGCTTCAGCCAAGTGCTGTGCTCCAATGTTTGAGATGTTATTGAATGAGAGGTTTAACGTGCGTAGCTGACAGTTGTTGTTGTTGATGGCCTCAGCTAAATACTTTGCTGCTTCATCTGTCAATTGATTTCCTGCGAGGTTTAACCAGCTCAGTTGAGATTCCCTACATTTTAACAGTTTACCAATCTCAAGACAACCTAATGGACCAATGTTATTATAACTCAAATCTAAATGTGAAATTTGTTGAACATTAATTACATTTACTAACGAAGAGCAATCAACAGCTGTGAGGTGACAACCAATAAAATTTACACAATTAAAGTTCATTTGTTGAAGTTTTCTCTGTGCTTTTGACTTCATTCTGCTATTTTCGTTGAAACATTTAATTAATGTTACTGCTAATTCTTGTTCGTCCTCAGTCGGCCAGCAGGTTACTTTCCTTTGCTCTTCATTCTCTGTCCACTGTTCGTTGTAGTCTGCGCTTTCTCTTTCTTCAGTTTTCACAGGAAGAAGGTCCGTGATAATTTCAATTGGTAGGTGAACTTTATCCTCCATAAGTCCTGCCAGAAACTGAAAAACCAGCTGCCATTTGCCGTTCTTAATGTTCTCGTAAACAAAGTTTCTTAATTCTGTTTCATTCAAGTCGCTCGCCAAGTGCATCGCAGCGAAAAACTCTTGCATTGTTAGGTGAATGAAACAGAATTGCTCCTCGTCTTCTAACGCGGCACGACGATCGGGTAAGCGATGAAAAAGAGCGCTGTCTTGCATTCCTTGTACTTCCTTTCCTCCGAGGATCAGTTTTCCTTCTTGGATTCCTTCAAACGCCACTCTTCCTAGTTTCTTGAATTTCTCCTCCACCGCCAAAGGCAAATTATCTGACAGATAGTTTTTGCGGGTGAAATGTTGATCGCGGAATTCTTTCGTGTGTTTGAAATAAAACACTTTGACCGCAATCTTGTATATCGTGGTTAATTTGGAAGGCAGGGTAACACTGCCGGAACTTTCGAACTGCATTATTTCTGACAGACTTGAGCACATGATGAAGCTGTTCACAGGGATATAACAGAGCGAAAGTAAGTTCATGTTGCTGCTGATGTGTCGCCATAGCGTTTCGCCTGCTTCCTTGTCATCTCCAGCGAATTTATCGATATACTCTTTAATTTGCTCGGTTGAGAAGCCAAGGATTTCAAAGCTTTTGTCGAACTTCAGATGTGCGATGCCTGATAAAGCCGTAGGTCTCGTAGTCGTTACAATTAAAGCATGTTTAAGAAGTTTTCCGGTCACAAGCCACTGATAAAGAATTTGAAGCGGCTTTTTATCTTCAATGCTTCTGGGATAAGTGGACGCCGCGGTTATGTTTTCGTTATGTTCGATTTCGTCGAATCCGTCAAAAAGCATGAGAACACCTTCAGGGTTCCTTTGAAGGCGATTCCAGACCTTGTCATCCATGTGACGTGTAGGGTAATACTCGGACTGAATCAACAGATCCTTGAGGCTAAGGTTTTTGGCCGAGTCGAATCTTCTGAATTTTACGAAGAAAGCAGCATTAAAATGGACTTGGGCACCTGATGTCGCTTTGAAATCTTTATTCAATGCCCAGTCTCTGAGAAGTTTGATACAACATAGTGTCTTTCCGATTCCGGGTCGACCGACGATTAAAACTTTCTTACTTTCAACATCCAGAAGGTCTTGCATGCTTTTCGGTTGTGAGTTTTCGTCGCGCGACCTTGGATAAACTTTGAGTTGCTCCTCTCGGTTTTCAGTAAAGTCATGCGTTTCTCTGTTTTGAATTACCACCAGGTTGGTGTAAATCTGATCGAGAGTCAAATTTTTAGCTGTTGAGTGGTCGCCTGGATTACCTACAAAAGGTGATTGGAGTTCTAAAAGTCCTTCGGTCTCTTGAACAATTATTTCCTTTGTGCGTTCGATGAATTCTTGAAACTTTTGTTCTTCAGTGTCTCTTTCAGTTAGTGGCATAGTTTCGTTCGTGCCATCCAGGTGTTGGTTGAGACTTAGATGGGTTTTTAGAAACTTTGAGTCTTCCATGAAACTCCTCTCAATGCATGCCCGTGAAAAAAGGTAGACGTTTTCAACCAGAGTCCCAGCAACAATAATTCCATTCACCGCAAGGACAGCGTACATCCAGAAGGTTTTCTTTACAGCTCGTTGATTGTGACAGTCGAGTAAAGTAGAGTTTTGGGCGTTGTCAGATGAATTGCTTGGCTGAGTGGTTCCATCGGTTAAATAACAGTTAAACTGAGAGGAAAAATTTAAAGGGTAAAGCAACTGAGTTTGTAGGACGATGAAAATAACTCCTAAAACAATTCTTATCGATAGTTGAGAGCAGTAAGCGATAAAAAGCTTGTTTCCAGTTGATGACGCAGTATCTTGGTCGTGCAGATGATCGACTTTGGGTCTTACTATTTGGGAGTAAATAGCACATACAAATGCGATAAGGAGTAAATTGAGGATTACGAAGCCATAGACTGGAAAACCGAATTTGTTGTACTGCTTCATATATTTCTCGTAACATTTTCCACGGACGGTGTCGACGGTTTCACTCTTCGCTCCGTCACAGCGGAAATCCAGCCTAGACTCGTTGATTTCCATGTCGAGGAATACGGCGAAGAAGATAACACTGATCAGGATCCAAAAACACACTGCCACATAATGAACTCTGTGGAAAGTTTTTGGCTCCAAATATTCTAAAATCTTTTCCATTGATACGGTTGGTATCTTTACTCACTTCCCCAGAACGCTGATCAGTTCTGGAGCTTGAATAAACAGCTAATGCGGCTTTGGTCTATTTGTAGCGCATGATAGTACTTTTATTTGATTGGCTTTTTTGGAAACTTTTAACTGTCAAAACGACAATGGATTCTTTGTGCATGTTATTGTTCTACATAAGAAACACTTGTCAGAAGCTGAGACGGTTATAGATATCTGCATATGTGGCAATATACGAGACCTCGCTTTCTCCCACCCCTTCCCCGTGCTCATTTTCAGTCGCTTTGTCTTCTCCTTTTTTATTAAAGTCGCTGCTGAGGCCCTGAAGAAAAACTCATTGTGCCGATGTCGCTTATTTTGAAGGTTGAAGACTAGATACCGAGTTGCTAGGTGTGGATATTTCATCTGCGTGGTAATTGTTTGGGGAGGAAATTGTAACCCTTGGCTGATTTAAGTCACCATTGGTTGAGGTTTTGCATCTTATTAATTTTGAGGGTGGTGTGAGTTTTTTTAACTAATACCAAAGCGGCTTAGTGAAGCAAAACTAATGCAAATGAAATTATTCTCGACTACGTCGTGAAAATACTGTCCTACTGTTATCATCTAATCACGATCATGAAAGGTATCAGGGTCTAGAAATACGTTGGCACGTCCTTTTTCTTTGGCGGAGGCTCCATGCATTTCTGAGCCAAAAACTCACCGATTTATTGCTCAACTTAACACGAAGAGGTCATACATCCAAAAAATATTTACGAAGAGGTCAGATAAACATCTTCCTAAGATCTACCCTTACCCTGAAAACCAAGTGATCCTTCCAAAATCCTCCACCCACACCACCCCCCCCCCCTTTTTTCAGGTGACAAATGATGACTCCTTCCTTATTTGGCTATAATTTCCCTTTTTGCTCTTTCCGGTTTTCTTTGCTGCTTTTTTAAAGTTTTCTATGAAAACATATTTGCAGCCAACTGTATAATAGAATAGTCAGTCAGAATAGTCTGAAAGACTATGTACCCTTTAAACCCTAGGAGTTTACAGAAATAGAATTAACAGAATTACCCCTGAATCAAACCTTAAGGCCATGAGAATAAAGGAAACAGTCGCCGGGGAAGGAATCTATGATCTGACCAGCAAACAAATTCTCCTTGTCAGCACCTTAAGAAATGTATAAAGAACAGTGTGGAGAATATGCATACTGATGTTAAGGTGTAAAGGGTTCAGAAAATGAAAGACGTCTTCCTTTGCAAGTGCAGAGGTTATTGACAGACTTGTCAATTCTATTGCAGCAGTTTCATTAATTAAATTTATATTTTTAGATTTCAAGAAAATTTTCTTTAAGCTGGGAGCAGACTTGTACAATTTTTAACGAGAAAATGTCAAGGAAACATTAGCAGACTTTATATCATAGGGTTAGGGGCTTAGTACTAGGTACAAATCTATCGAGATTAAGCTGATTCAACATGGTTAAAAAATTCAACTGTATGGCCAAGTTCCATTCAAGTGTATCAATCAACCTTTTCTGGTTAGATTTGAGAGATGATCAGTCGGGCAATCATGTTCAAATGAGGAATCAACTCTATTTTTACAGTTTGCCTATCAGTAATGTAACAACCTTCTTGAATTTTGTTTTACACCATAAAAGTTTGAGCATTACCTGAAATACGAGTCAATTCTATACAACTGAAGCAGTTATTTCCTTCTGTGGTCAAATTTTTTACCCAACCAATGAAAATGTTATAGTTTCTTTTTGAGTGTTGTCCTTGTTAGTTTGAGCTCACTTTGTTTAAGGTATTTTTGAAAAATTTGTCATTTAAGTTTTTTGTAGGTTGCATTCAATCCTTTTCTAACCACAACACTTTGTTTCTTTTTGCCTCTGGGTTTTCTGATGTTAATGCCTCAGTCCATCTCACGTTTTATACCAGGATGTCTACTATCGCTACAATACACTTGAGTGGTCTTTACGTGTCTGAATAAATACAGGTAAACTGCCTGAAGTAAGTAAGTGATACTAGAATGCTGACAATTTTCAGTTTCAACAAATGCATTTAATTACTTTTTTTGACTAAACATACTACTAGTAAAATAAGATTAATAACTATAGACCAATTAACAATTGAATAATTGGCAAAGAGTGAATTTAACATTTAAAAAATCCTTAACATCGATCAGCCAATGTGACAAACATCCCACCCTTCTATCTCGTGACAGTTTGATGGTTTTGCGGCCACTTGACTGATCTCCTTCACAGCCGTTTTGCTTCAGTGACATCCCCCCATTCCCTTCCTCAAGAAAAAATCAGCTGCAAGTAAGACTACTTGATTGGGTGATTAAAAGTAACACCAAAACTTTAACCTTTGCAGCTCATTGTGGTTGAGTTTGATAAAGCCCTAATTACAATGTGGCAAGGAAATGAAAGCTGGGCTACAATTTGGACTTTCTCTGCATGAAAGCCATAATGGCCTGCATACACTCTTCTGAAAGCCAGCGTTCTTCAAGTAAAGCACACTCCTTTTTGTTGGCACCATGTAACAAATCATGGAATGAATCACATATTAACTGCTTGGACAACAACAAAGACTGTTAAGTGAACAAAATAAAAAAACAGAACACTTATTGAATGATAGTATAAAACATTTATTGGTCGTCTAAAATAACACTTCACTCAAAACCCCTATCGTCTACAGTTAAATATAAATGATCATGATAAAAATTAGAATTGATAAATAAAATATGGGAAACCCCTCTCCTGTATTCATCACTATGATTATATGTTGCAATAAAACTTGAGTAAGGCAGGATACCTTTTATTCTTTCCAGGCTGAAAGGAATATATGAAAGAAAGCAGAAGTTTTACTCTCAGGCTTCTTTCACCAATTTATTGAGAGAAGCCATATGGCTGGGAATATCCCTAAGACATTACAAATAGACCCCTTCCCCAACTCCCCCCCTCCTTTGACAAGCCTGTCTCCAAATGCTATAGCAACTCCATTGTAGAGGGCGCCCTGCTGTAAAACTCTACAATTCAATTTTCTACCTGGGGGGGGGGGGGGTGTAGCTTGGCCATTGCTTATATTCTGTTCTGAACTTCTTCTGTGAACTTGTCATGGGAGAAAACATCTGTAACCAATCCACAGTCTCTTACTTCAACTGCTGTCAGCTTGCATCCAGCAAGCAACATTTCATTGAACTAAAGAAGATTAAGAATTTGTGTTGTAATTTCACAAATTATGACAATAACTTGAAATATGCTCTTTAACTCATGTTATAAAAAGGTTTCAACAGAAATTAGAGGCAAGTCAATGTACCTTTGCAGGTCCCATTATCCTAGGGAACATAAATGAGGAACATCCTTCAGGGCTTTGTCCTAGCTCCATAGATGGTGACTGAAATGCAGCTTTATCTGATCCACAGGTCAAGTCAAACAGGCCTGTGACTGTTATTAATAATCATAGAAGTTGATTGTACTTGATTTGCATGTACAAGTAAGATTGGTGTGTACTAAGATAAGTTAAGATGTATTGCATAAATGGAAGACAATTAACTTCTAATTTCACAAGGTTATTACTAAAAAAAATTTCCACAGTAAGTGGTAAGGCCCCTATTTCAATAAAACATTCAGTGGATAACCAAGAAATTTTAGTCTCCACCCCATAAATTTTTTGTTCAGTTTCATTCATGTCAGCTGTTCTAACTTGAAGTTTGAAGGTAGTCAATGATGAGTTTGAGAGAGACTTAAATATCTTCAATCCATTTTTTTAACATCAACTGCTCCTTGACTAAAAAGCTTCATGACAGCAGTTTTCTGGAAATCCATTACTTAATATGAATTCATTGATTGCTTGTAATGCATTGGGACAGCTTGGACTCTTCTGGAGTTCAACAGATTTTTGATCAGTGGATATTAAGTGATGTACAGTTCTAGGATAAGGCTACTGTTTCCAAGATTTGATTGGTTCTTGTGCAGTTTGGTTGCTGTGATCTACTGCACTACAGTGAAATTGTGCAAACTCAATTCATTTCTTTTCTGCTCTATTTCAAAGTTTACAAGACTGAAACTTTCATGAAATAAATTTGTTATCATGATCATCATTGTCATACTCATACTGTGCTCAGCCTGGAGTCCAATGTGCTAACTATTTGGTCTCCACATAACTCAGTGTTCTCCAGAGATTTTCAAAAACCAGGCAGAAAAAATAAATGCTGGCAAAGGTTAATATCTAATTCAGATCATGAAAGATGTTTAACTACTTTGCCTAAATAAAGCGGCCAGCTCTTTTGGGATGAGTACCAATCCTGGTGCTTCAGGAGAATGCTGGTAGCCCACAAGAATGAATGATTGGGGAATCTGAGATAAAAGGAAAAGACATTGGTCTGCTAACATACTTTATACTTTCCATGCGTCATTTGCCATCTTTTGAGGACCCTCAGGCAGAATTCTGGTAAAGTTTCCCAAGTCATTTCCACGGTAGTAATATTCTCCAAAAGGCCCATGTATGTTTTAGTCAGTTTTGTAAAATGTAAATATGGTGTCTAATGACTCCATTTAAGCTTGCCGAGAGACAAAATGGTTTGCCAAATCCCTGAAAGTTCCATTCTTGATTTTCCTTATTTTACCACCTGTTGCTAACCCTTTACTTACTTGTCGGTGGTCTGTCGGTGGGGGGAGCTTTTTCTCACAATTACCATAGTCTTAGCTCAAATTCAATGGCCAAATGCAGGAATCCATTCACAACCACTAACCATAAATTCCCCGGTTTGCGGTTACGATTTTAACACGACCGAATTTTCTATTACTTAAGTTATAAAAGGCAAATGTGCGCGTATGGAAGTTAACTGTTTCACTTTTGATATAAACAAATAGTTTCTTAGCTTCTTAGCTAGCCTGTCAAAGCTTTGTCCAGCTTCTTGTGGATTATAGTCTCAATCAAAATGAACCATTTTTTACGGGGTTAGGACTGAAAAAACTGAAACACTTAAATCAATAGAAGTGCCCAGGAAAACATTCAGTTGAAATGCTCATGGCCTAGTTTGCATGCGCGAAAGAATTGCCGTGACTTGAGAACATTTACTCGTGGAATCAGCTGACTCTAAGTTCAATTCCGGTAAATTTGCCCCTAAAATGAGCCATTCAGTAAATTTTATCTCTTCTGGTATTGTACTTACGCTGCTGGTCGACTCTCCTTCGTCGCAATAAGGCATGTTTTCAGTGGAAGAGAGAAAAATTACTTCCAATTCGAATAGCTGGAAAGCCAGGAAGATGATTTTTGGCGGCACTTGAGAGAGGCTCTTGATTAACACCTCGAACTGCACTATGGGATGGTAAGAAATTATACCTTGTCACCAGTCTCTCACAACTTTCTCTCTCCAATCCTCGTGGGCAGAAACATGGCGACTTTCATCGCCAAGTCCCTGTAGTAGAATGTGTCTTTATTCGAGAACCATTGCCTTTGTTTATGTATTTTGGAACCAGTTGATTTACAAATTTGATACTTAAATAGATAAGCGATATCATGGAACACATAAATTGTGCGTCGATCGTCAAAACACCGTCATAACTTTCGAAGTAAGGTTGACTGAAGTAGAAGTTTGCTTTGGGTTGTTGTCGAAAGAATAGTTTAATTTTGAAGTACACCTGGATCCACGATGCAAATCAAAAGCGTGGAAGCCTTAAAATCTTGGCTTACAACTCGTTTGGAGTCAGTGTAAGTATATATTCAGAGGAAAGCCGAACTGTATTTCGTAGACATACTAAATACTAACATTAACGACTCGTGCATGATGGCTCAAAATTGTTAAAACTGTACGATAGATGCCTTCGATGGGAACCTGGTTATTAAGTCATTTCAGAGTTGATTTGTCTCGCTGATGTTCAATTTCTATGAAGTATTGCTAACATTATTAGGCAATCTTTTGACGTTTATTAGAGATTAGACTTAAGGTTTCTTTCTGTTGGCATCAATAACTTAATTAGTTTTGTTAATTCTCTGACCTCTAAGAGTGACTAGCATCCAATTTCTCCTTACAATACCACCCCTGAAACACACATTTTGTTCACAAGACTAAAGATGATCACCAACCAGAGAAGTTATTGATTGTTCAACATTTTCTCCTTCTCGGCACCCTTGGAAATGTATATAAACAGTTTTTTTTCAGTATGGAGATTATGCATACTGACAAGTGGGTTTTTACTAAAGAGTTAATGGTAAGTTATTGTGTAGTTCAGAAAGCCTCACCTTGTTCAAAAATGAAAGATTACTAATGATTAGAAGATCAAAAACATATTTTTTTGCTGCTTTAACCTGATCTTAAGATTGACTGTTGGTAAGATTTCCATACAGCTCCTACTAATTCTGCATGCAGTTCTTGGATAAGGAAAGCAGTGGCCAAAACAGCAGATTGTCTTATGTACTATGGCTTTGTTTTAACATAGTATGTGGGTCTACAGAAATCTTTCCTAATTTTTTATGCCATTATCCTAGTAGTCTTATGGGACATCTAAAAAATTGAAAATTTGACTTAATATTGAAAATGGGACAAAAGCATTCCTCTGTGGTTTCTTAGGATGAATCAGCATGCTGTTAACCCTTTAACCCCCAGATCAAATTTGTAATTCTCCTTACTGTCAACCATACAGTTCTTATAATGTTAGTTCAGAGAATTTTGTATTGGATCAACTAATTATCACCAAATTTATATTTTTCTCTATGCTCATCACTAATCTAGATGATATTGTATTGATATAATAAGGAGAAATTCTGTCTTGGTCACTCGTGGGAGTTAAAGGGTTAAGTGATATAAATATAACCTTAATTTGTACCAGTTGGCAGAAATTTATTTGGTTTTATGACATAACCTTTGGTTTATTACAATTTCTCTCCTTATAAATGTTTCAGTTGTGATGCTGATCCAGCGGCTCTGGCCAAGTATGTTGTTGCTTTAGTGAAAAAAGACAAGCCTACAGAAGAACTCAAAGACATTTGTGTGGACCAGTTAGAAGTTTTCCTGTCTGGAGGTAAGATTCTCACTCAAGATTCTCTATGGAAAAGGTTGATACTCCTAACAATTCGAATGGATAATTTTATACATTTTTTGCAGAACCAGTCAAATGAGACTACTTCTTTTTTTCAGAAACTGGTACTTTTGTGAACACGCTGTTTGAAGCTCTTGCCACTTCCTCTTACATTCCTCAACCACTTGCTGAACCAAATCCTGCACCAATTGCTAGCTCTGCTCCTCTGCCAAAAGCTGTTCCTTCACAGTCAGCCCCAAATTCAACCACACCACAGGAAAAACCCAGGAAGTCATCAATATCAGAGGACTCACGAGTTCTAACAGAGGTAATTAAATGTCTCATGTGACCTTTGTGCTCAACCCTTTAACCCCCAAGATCTGATTGTTAATTCTCCCCTCTAGCTGCTATACATTTCCTTGTTAATTAGATACAAGAATTTGGTGTTAGGTCAAGATAACAACTTCTACCTGATAAGTTTGAGTATTCTTATTACAAGGTTACTGGATAATGTATGTTTATTATAAGGAGAAGTTACATGTTAATCACTTCTGGGAATTTAAGGGTCAAAATTGTGATCAACATTGTGAATGTAATTGCTAATGGATTTGTGTATAAGCTATTGAATATTTTAATAGCTGACTTAACCCTTTCATTCCCAGGAGTGACCAGGACAGAATTTCTCATTACAATTTCAATACAGTATCTAACAGACAAGTGATGAGAATAAAAACAATATTAATGGCAGATAGTAGGGAGTGAGAATTACTGATAAATCTTGGGAGTGCAAGGGTTAAGAAAGTTTGTTAAGGGTGATTGACAAAATCTTCATTTCAATTCTAGATTTGACTGGGTAAAATACCTTATTTTTCAGTTTATACTTCTGTAATTAAATTTGGTATTAGTTTTTTCATGTATTTGGTATCAACACTTGATTTTGGGATGGGTAGAATAAGGCCTGAAGGACTTTTGATGCCCAATCACATGCACAATCTCCTTGGGTATCAAAATGGAATAAAGTACAATCTTGAGAGGAAAATGTCAGTAGTAGTTCATCAGAAGTCACTTACTAGCCTAAGGTTTTTCCCCTTTGCATCTCTTCAATTCCAGCCTTCAGTATTAGATGATGATGACAGAGATTTTAAGAGAACAAGGAGAACCACAGATTCTAGTGACAAAATTACCAGCTCTGTGGTGTCCAGCAGTGGTGACAGATCTCGTAAGCGAAGGGGTGATGATGAAAGCAGATTCAGGGGTGACTACTCAAAGTTTGCAAAAGAGGAATCTGGTGGAATACGACATGGAGATTCTGAATCTCATGATGATCAGGGCTCCAGAAGTAAATCTGATGGTGCACATTATGACAATGCAACTTATCCTATTCCGAGTGCCATGCATCGTGAACGAAGTAATAAGCATTTGGATGGCCAG